AAAGCCTCGCGTATACCACGCGTATACCCGCGCGTATACCACGCGTATACCAGCATACCAGCGTATACCATATATACCAGCGTATACCGGCGTATAACATCTATATATATATATATTTAAAGCCACTGTAATGATGTTGCACTTGTTTTGATTGGATCGTAGGTTGGTGATAACCGCATCTCGGTGATAACCGAAACCACTGTGCAAACCTCATTGTTACCAGGGTGGTGCTAAATGAGCGTTTTAAACGCAAATCAAACTTTTGCGTTTTTTTTTTAATATTAAGCCGTAGAAATGGCTGCTTTCTTCTTGAACAAAAGGATTGAACACGTTGAATACCATTTTTCGCATATTATGACAACAAAAAAACAACAAAATGAAATGTGCAAAAAACAGCACCCAAAGAAACTTACAAAAGTTAAGCTCTAAATTTTACAAGTTCTGTGACACTACTTATAACTAGATACAAGTAAAAACCTGACACTATAGTAATTGAAGCGGTCAGCCATGTATGATTGTCAGAAGAGATTGCAAACATTTTCACAGAGCAAGATTGAGCAGCAAGCCAGAGAAACACGGCTGCACGCAAATTCACGCGCGCAGACACAGTCTCATTTTGTTCAGGTGACCTGAGGATTCGAATTTCTCTTTCCAATTCAAGTTTTTGGGTTTGCCCTGGAAGCCACCTGGACGAGTCTTTGCGCCAAGCAGCAGCGTCATCCCAATGCAAGACCGGGATTTACAGCCTCAGTGTGGGGTGCAAGTTGCGAGTTTCCATGCTTACAGAATGTGCATTGCGGAATCCAACCGCCGAGCCAAACTTGTCACTTTTGCAGAGACATTCCCATGGATCTTGCGTTCATACGTTCTCCATATTTTTCCTCCATACATCTCCAAAATTAAATTGTGCTTTTTTTTTGGGGGGTTTCGGAGAGCTAAACAGCATGCCTGCTTCATTGCTACCTGTGACAGATTCGATTTGATCTGTGGCAGGCTAGCGAGACAAAGAAACATCCAGCTGTTCGCCATGAGTTGTCTGAAGGAGACGCCTTGGTTTTGGCCGGCTGCGCTTGGTGTGACGCAGAAGTATTGGCGGGAGGAAGATGGAGTGCTTCTCTTGATGCTACGTTCCAGCCGCTGAATGGCACATAATTGAGATTCCGTCAAATGACGCTTCAGCTTTGACCTTTTGCTTCGCACCCCACAGCCTCCAGTGGGTGTTGACGGGCGGCCAAAAATACATTTGTCAGCTTCCTTTGTCAGAGGAACAAAGCCAAAAGAAGTCATCACCATCACTAAATTATACCTGTCAAGTCAAGAATTTCTTTCTACGGCTCGCGCAGGAAGCCAGACCAGCAATCGCTTAATTTTTCTGGCCAGGCAGGTAGAGACCACAGCTAAGGAACCAGTAGTTGCGCAGGAACTTGTTTCAGATTCGTAGCTCGATGAATGCGGTTAAGATTTGTGAAGCTTGTAGCCGTATAGCTTTCGACTTTTTCCGAACTGTCGGCTGCCCGCCTTGTCTCACTGCGGGAATGTATTTCCAGTACCATGGCGGCGGAGCCTTGGGCGAAGGGCTGTCCTCCGCTGGACCCACTGGGCTTCCCTCACCTGTGTTGGGCTGACTTGTTTGAAGCGTGGCCTGGCAAGGTTTGATCGTTTGGGCAGTGTGTCTGTGTGCGCGGGGGTATTGAATTGTAGATGAAGATCATGCCTGGTGGCAGGCATCAACAAGTTTTTTTCAAGATGTCCCAGCCATGATCTTGTCTTTGTTCCTCCAGCAGGCGTTCCAGCCTAACCCTCGACATTGGTTCCTTTTTCGGACTAACTTCGGGACATTTGCTCTGGCATGCTTGCTAACATCTGCTGTGTTCTTTTTTTTTCCTGGGACGCATGGATAGTTAAAGCGTGGTTTCGGCTGATATTGCGATTAAACTACAACATCGCATAGCACGTGGAGAGCCCCCGGTGAATCTGAACAGAGTTGGATATTTCAGCACTTTCAATGGATAGAGTGGCAGAGAACAGGGGGAGAAGATACGAATTCGACTTTTTGACGTAACACGTGGCAAAACGAAATTCTTTTGTGTAGAGGGATATCTTTCGTGGATTTGAGGATTTTGCCTCGGTTTCAACAGCGCTTGCTGCTGGGCTTCCCTTGTGGCGGCATCGATGCACCAGGCACTATAGTTGGAGGCATAGCCTGTTCTGTAACATACAAGATAAGTTACCCAACAACATACGATCCCCGAGCAAGATTCTAATTTTTCCCAACCAGCCAGGTGAAAGTCTCTAGATTTGAAACAAGGTGCAACTCTTCCTTCTTCCTTCTTCTTCTTCATCTTCCTTTTCCCTTTTTCCTCCTGCATTCTTGATTGCTGCGCTGCCAGCTCGTCGTATGGACACGATCCATGTCGCGAGCGCCGGATGCAGCACGCCGAGGCCGGAACTCTATGCAGTGGGCCACGCCTGGAACCGAACTCTATACCGTCAGACTAGATGCCAGAAAGATTGCCAGATTGAATGTCAATACATATTCAGAAAAGATGCCAGAAAGAATGCCGCATAGGATGTTGAAACATATGTCAGATAGAATGGATGTCAAATTACCAGAACTTACATGCCATATTTACTTCCAGGTGATGTGCGTGAAACATCGAGAAACTATGTCAGAATAGTGTGTCAGGGAGAGGATCACTCGAAGTTACTGTAATTAAGGTTGCTGCCGTGAATTAATTTGGATGATTCAGAAAAGGATCCGCAAGTAGTAGTGAATAATTGGGAAAGGTTCTTGTTGGGTTGACCGCAGTAGCGTTCCTCATGCAGGAGCATTTCTGAGATCCATGGGCTTCGACTATGATGTTGGATTCTTCTGTGACATATCAGAGTCCTTGCGGCTGCCTTTATCAGACTTTTGGCATATTCGGTTTAGATCCAGCAGTTCCTGATGTGTTTGTCTGTTTTTTCGCCGTCCTTGATTTGCGCGTTGACATGCAGCGCAGTAACCGTGGTGAAATTGAGTGGATTGGCAGAGTGGTAATCTAGAGGAACAGCTACAGATTCCAATCTGTCAGCGCGTGCGCGCTCAGGAAATGCATGGCCGGGATCTAGTGCAACATTTCCTCCTGGGTGCTGCGGGTGATATCACCCAGATACCAGTCCAAGACCTGCCTATTGTGGATGGAATTGTTTTTGGCGCTCCATGCCCTCCTTTCAGCTCTATTGGCATCAGGCAGTTCAGCAGAGACAGCAGAAGCAATGTCTTTGAAGCGTGCCATGCGCTTCTCTCCTATCAGGGCCGGAAAGGCTTGAAATTTTGGATTTCAGAAATGGTGACTGGACAAGATGTCAGTCTTCCAGGAGCAGAAGTAACATACTATCAAAACTGGTTAGCGCGGTTGGCAGAAGATGCCCCGATGTTTTTGGTCAGTAGCCACAGGCTCAACAGTTTGGATTATGGCACTCCACAGCACCGTGAAAGAATTTACACCTTTGGAGTCCACAAGGATTGGGCTACTGCTCCGGTCCCTCGTCCACCGCCTTTGCCACGCGTTTCTTCGGAAGACTTGTGGCGGTGTGTTCTTCACAAGGCATTTCCGACACAGCAGGAGAGACGACTCACCACTCAGCAGCAGCTCAATGTGACTTGGGCAAAGATTCGCGCTTTGAGGTCGCGCACTTGGGTCAACCCAATTGTGGTGAGCGCAGATAGAGATCCAACGAAGAACTTTGCATCAATGTTGCGATTAGATGGAAATTGCATGACGTTGAGAACACAAAACGAGCTAATCTGGCTCATGTGGTTGCAGCCTGCGCTTCCCCTCGATGGCAAGGTTTTATTTTTCTTCAATATTAAACCAGTCGTCCTAGAAACTTTAGTTTGACAATGTGACAATAGTTGTCTCAAAGAAAATGGGGACATTCTGAGGATGGTTCGTGCACCTTCTCGCGGGCCTTACACCCCATGGAACGCTTTGGGCTTCAAGGTTTCCAATGTAAATTTTTTGGCGGCATGAACAAGACCGACATGATGGCGGCCACAGGGAATTGCATGACCGTTTCTGTGGTTGGTGCAGCGCTCAGCGCTGTTTTTCGACATTTGTCTCAGGCTGCACACTGCTCTCCTTGGCTGTCTTTGCCGCTAGATCTGAGCGCCGGCTGGCGGCGGAGTGAGTCCCTCATCTTTTGCTTTAGGAAAGCTTTGCGCTTCAAGAAGCGGACCCTTTTATCTGGCCTAAACTCCCATCCAAGCTATTGAATTTACGTTCATCCCATGAGCTAAGGAAACGCAATGCAGAGAAACAGCTGGCAAGGGACATAGAGTTCTTGGAGGCGCGTCGTCTCGCGCTCGGGGCATGATCGACACAGGGCCCACTAGAAAATGGTTGGAAAAGCTGTGCAGCGCGTCATTGCTTCGCAGGTTGATTTGTTTCCTATATAGAAGACAACAGACTGTAAAGTGAAGCAGGAACTAAGATACCAAATTCGCTGATATAGAAGACAACAGACTGTAAAGTGAAGCTGGAACTAAGATACCAAATTCGCTGCTCTGTGGAGGGGTCGAACTTGATGTCGACATGGTTACAAGATGTTACAAGCATCTTCCAATGATGCTTCCTCATCTCCACTCTGGGCAAAATACGGTAGTATACAAACTCATCAATGAACCATACGGACCATACCCTATTTGCAAAGGTTTTACCCTTCCGGGGCACTTGTTGGGTTTACCGCATTGGGCCACTTGGAATCACCCTCTCGACTGCTACATCCGTACATCCGTGTAATGAATTGGTTTGTTGAAGTTAAAACATGCACCATTGAGCCTGGGTTTCCTGTAAAGTTTGGGTGTCAAGTAGGTTTGGTAAACATGAGTGATTCCTGCAAAAGGGGTTTCCAATCAACTTTCTTCTAACTTGGATTGCTCCAGGGGTCCCAGAAATATACATATATTCCCTTTTTCGATTTCCCGGTCCTGGTGGATGTTCCATTTTGATTCACAAAACCACCGACTCAACCCAACCCTGGCCAACTAATCCCATCCTAATATGAAACACTTCCTGGAAACCTTAGGGGATTTATGATTTATCGAAGGAAGTTTAGAAGTCAAACTTCCGACAATATGGACAGATGAAAAGCAGAGCAGGGAAGAGGCAGAGAGAAGAGAAAGATTAGAAGAAAGAAGAGTAGAAGAGAAAGAGTAAGAAGAAAGAAGATGCAGATGCGCGAAAAGGTAGGAAAGTCGAGAAACATGGTCTTTTTCCAATGATTTGGGGCTCCGGAGGGTCGAAAAGTAGGCTCGCTAAAGCGCCGGGTGCGGAGCCAGCTCGCCAGATGAGAGATGAAAAATTGCACGCCGTTGTGGCGCGAAGCACATTTCGAAGCCAAAATGTACAAAACACCTCAGCGTCGGACCACTTTTGGAAGTTGCGATGTCGAAAAAGTGCACGCCGTTGTGGCGCGAAGCACATTTCCAAGTCAAAATGTACAAAGCACACCAGGTCCGGACCACTTTTGGAAGTTGAGATGTCGAAAAAGTGCACGCCGTTGTGGCGCGAAGCACATTTCGAAGTCAAAATGTACAAAGCACACCATTCTCGGACCACTTTAGGAAGTTGAGATGTCGAAAAAGTGCACGCCGTTGTGGCGCGAAGCACATTTCCAAGTCAAAATGTACAGAACACACCATGTTCGGACCACTTTTGGAGGTTCAGATGTCCAAAATGTGCACGCGGTTGTGCCGCGAAGCACATTTCGAAGTCAAAATGGTAAAAGCACCAGGGGTTCGGACCACTATTGGAGGTTCAGATGTCGCTTCTCTTCGCTTCACTACACTCCACTACACTACACTTCACTACACTACACTACACTACACTTCATTACACAACACTACAACTACAACTACACAACTACACTACACTCCACTACACTCCACTACACTCCACTACACTAAATTACACCACAATACACTACATTACACTACACTCCACTACACTACACTATATTACACTACACTACACTACCTTCCAGTACACTTCACTACATTACACTACATTACACTCCACTACACTACAACTACAACTACAACTACACAACTACACAACTACACTCCACTACAATACACTCCACTACACAACAGTAAATTACACTACACTACATTACATTACACTACACTCCACTACACTACACTACATTACACCACGCTACACTACCTTCCACTACACTTCACTACATTACACTACACTACACTCCACTACAAATATAACTACGACTACACAACTACACTCCACTACAATACACTCCACTACACAACAGTAAATTACACTACACTACATTACACTACACTACACTCCACTACACTACACTACATTACACTACACTACCTTGCACTACACTTCACTACACTACACTACACCCCAGTACAAATATAACTACGACTACGCAAATACACTCCACTACACTACACTACATTACACTGAATGACGCTGCACAACAGATAGACAGGTAGACAGATAGACAGATAGATAGACAGATAGACAGATAGACAGATAGACAGATAGACCGATAGACAGATAGACAGTTAGACAGATAGACAGATAGACAGATGAAAGAGAGAGAGAGATAGATAGATAGATAGATAGATAGATAGATAGATAGATAGGTAATTAGATGAAAGAGAGAGAGAGAGATCGATCGATCGATCGATCGATAGATAGATAGATAGATAGTTAGTTAGATAGATAGATAGATAGATACATAGAAGATAGGTTGGTAGGTAGGTAGATAGTCAGAGAAAGAGAGAGAAAGAGAGGAGACCTCAAGCACCTTTCGGTCCATCAGTGGCTTCGCTCTGCCATCCCTGATTCACAACAACCAATCTCTCCTATAGGTTTCCTATTTTTGAAACTTCCGCCACCGCCTTGTGCGGTACTACTGGTATATATATTTGGGACCATAGCATAGGATAGGGATCGCACCTCTTTTTTCCAGGTTTTTGGCAGATCAAGCATCCCCGCCCACTCTTGTCTCATTCTGCCATGGCTTGGCGTTGGGATTGGCAACAGCAGCCTTCGGCCTGGCATCAGTCGATGGACTGGCAGCAGGACTGGCATGCTACGGACTGGCATGCCACGGACTGGCAGCAGGGTTCCTCGTGGGGTGGTTCGTCGTCTTGGGAGTGGCCAGATGACAAGAAGGACCCACCGAAGCCGGAGAAGAAGCTGGTCTTTTCTGGCTACAGCTGCTCGGAAATAGCTGAGGGGGTCCAGAGGGTCCGCATGGCAAAAGACGGTTGCAGCAAGCGTTCCTTTTTCCGGCACAGATTTTTTTCTTGGGAAGAAGCTTTCATTGGTCTTCACCCCACATCCAAAAAGCTTCCGACATTCTCTGGTGCAGCTTCAATGTTGGGAAGGTTCCAGTATGTTCCAGTCTTGCTGGTTCGGTTTCAACATCTCGGATCTGGCTGGCTTTGCTTTTTGTTTGGCTTCAAGGTCAGGAGGTTTCAGGTGAACTCGTACGGATTGAAGTTGCTCCAATTCCGGAATGTTTTTGTGTTGCTGTTTAGTTCTATACTTGGCTGCTGCCCTTGGTTGGGCATGGTAGGCTTCCTGACAGGTACATTCTTGACGCGCTAGTTCTTGATTTGCCTGACAGGTGGAATTTATCATGTGCTCCTGTTCGGGGTTGGCGGATTTCTTGACCAGTTCCTGACCGGTGTGTTTCTGTCGCACCTGAGTTGGCTGCCAGGTACCATTTTTCACGTGCTCCTTTTTGGGGCTGGCGGACTTCCTGATTTTGCAGACACCTTTGAGCTTGCTTGGAATGATGGGTTTTCTGCTCTATCCCAGCTGCCAGGTGAAGGTCACTAGATTCTTTAGATTTTCATAAGCCAGCTCGGCCCGCCAGACCCGAGCCCATGCTGAGTTCGTTCACCAGCAATGAGATCCTTGAGAGGAGCTCGCCTATTAGGGTAGTAGATGTGACACTATGTCTGCTTGTGTGCCGCCTATCTAGCATATTTTCTGCCAGAACCAATGACAGATAGCATGCTAGATTCATGTGGAAAAAATGCTAGATAGTAGGTCAAAAGACATGTCAAATAGAACTAGTGCGGGTTGAAGGCTGGTCCGGTTGTCTCTTGCTGGCTAGCTTTTGAATTTGCTGCTGCCTTACTCCTTACCTGACAACACTGTTTCTGAGGCGCTTGTTCCGACCCGGCTGCCAGGTACAATTTTGGTCCTCTTTTGGGTCTGGCGGATTTCCTAACCGGTGTGTTTGTGACGAGTCCAACTTGGCTGCCAGGTACTTTTGTTCGCATGCTCCTTGTAAGGGGTTGGTGGATTTCCTAACGTAGCAGGCACGTTTCAATTCTTGACTTGGTTGGCAGGTAGCGCTCCTGCGTCCGAACCTTGCTTACATGGCGAGCTCCTCAGCTCTTTGGGCACCACCATCAGGATTCATCGAGGCTCGCCTGTTATCTGGGCTCCATCGGATCCGAACTCTGCGCCAGGTAAAGTGTTACATTGAGTGTACGATAGAAGCTGACATAGAAGGCTGAACAGGTACATATCAAACTCTTTGCCAGACTGAATGACAAGATAGATTGGCAGCTTGCATGTCCGCTAAATGCCAGACTGACTGGGAGATACAATGCTAGATAGCATGCGAGACCAAATGCCAGACACATTGTCAGATAGAATTCTAGCTATATCAATTAGAATGTCCGCTACAATGCCAGAAAGAATGTAAGAAAAAATGTCAAATCAACCGCATTACAGTAGGTGATAATAAATGTCAAATAGGAATGCTTGATATCAGATATCAATCAAGTAAAGGGATAGATACTATTGCGCGTTGAAGGCGGCTTCAATTTCGGAATGTTCTATAGCCATTTGCAGGCTAGCTTTATACTTGGCTGCTGCCCGTGGGCTTGGCAGGCTTCCTGACCTGACAGGTACATTTTTGACGCGCTAGTTCTTGACTTGCCTGACAGGTGGAATTTATCATGTGCTCCTGTTCGGGGTTGGCGGATTTCTTGACCAGTTCCTGACCGGTGTGTTTCTGTCGCACCTGAGTTGGCTGCCAGGTACCATTTTTCACGTGCTCCTTTTTGGGGCTGGCGGACTTCCTGATTTTGCAGACACCTTTGAGCTTGCTTGGAATGATGGGTTTTCTGCTCTATCCCAGCTGCCAGGTGAAGGTCACTAGATTCTTTAGATTTTCATAAGCCAGCTCGGCCCGCCAGACCCGAGCCCATGCTGAGTTCGTTCACCAGCAATGAGATCCTTGAGAGGAGCTCGCCTATTAGGGTAGTAGATGTGACACTATGTCTGCTTGTGTGCCGCCTATCTAGCATATTTTCTGCCAGAACCAATGACAGATAGCATGCTAGATTCATGTGGAAAAAATGCTAGATAGTAGGTCAAAAGACATGTCAAATAGAACTAGTGCGGGTTGAAGGCTGGTCCGGTTGTCTCTTGCTGGCTAGCTTTTGAATTTGCTGCTGCCTTACTCCTTACCTGACAACACTGTTTCTGAGGCGCTTGTTCCGACCCGGCTGCCAGGTACAATTTTGGTCCTCTTTTGGGTCTGGCGGATTTCCTAACCGGTGTGTTTGTGACGAGTCCAACTTGGCTGCCAGGTACTTTTGTTCGCATGCTCCTTGTAAGGGGTTGGTGGATTTCCTAACGTAGCAGGCACGTTTCAATTCTTGACTTGGTTGGCAGGTAGCGCTCCTGCATCCGAACCTTGCTTACATGGCGAGCTCCTCAGCTCTTTGGGCACCACCATCAGGATTCATCGAGGCTCGCCTGTTATCTGGGCTCCATCGGATCCGAACTCTGCGCCAGGTAAAGTGTTACATTGAGTGTACGATAGAAGCTGACATAGAAGGCTGAACAGGTACATATCAAACTCTTTGCCAGACGGAATGACAAGATAGATTGGCAGCTTGCATGTCCGCTAAATGCCAGACTGACTGGGAGATACAATGCTAGATAGCATGCGAGACCAAATGCCAGACACATTGGCAGATAGAATCCTAGCTATATCAATTAGAATGTCCGCTACAATGCCAGAAAGAATGTAAGAAAAAATGTTAAATCAAACGCATTACAGTAGGTGATGATAAATGTCAAATAGGAATGCTAGATATCAGATATCAAGTAAAGGGATAGATACTATTGCGCGTTGAAGGCGGCTTCAATTTCGGAATGTTCTATAGCCATTTGCAGGCTAGCTTTATACTTGGCTGCTGCCCGTGGGCTTGGCAGGCTTCCTGACCTGACAGGTACATTTTTGACGCGCTAGTTCTTGACTTGCCTGACAGGTGGAATTTATCATGTGCTCCTGTTCGGGGTTGGCGGATTTCTTGACCAGTTCCTGACCGGTGTGTTCCTGACGCCTTTGGGTTGGCTGCCTGCAGGTACCATTTTTCGCGTGATCCCTTTGGGGCTGGCGGGCTTCCGGACTTTATGTTCAGACGCGCTTGCTATTGTTTCGAATGATATCGTTTAATCCCACCTCACTCAACCAGATACCGGACGCCCGCACCTTTTGCCGAGATCGCCAACTGGTTTTTAGTTTTTGGTCACACTGGACCCGAGCGCTTCGGCGAGCTCGCCTGTTGCCTGCGAGAACAGCATTCCGATTATTTAAGACGTTGACTGTCAGATAGGTTATATGTCCAGATATATTGCATTTTCTGCCAGATAGAGGCAGTCGGAAGCCAGATCGTATTCGAGACAGAGTGGCAGATGATAAGCGCGAAAATTTTGGCAAGAAAGAATGCCAGATAGAATGTCAGCAATCAGGTAGAGGTAGAATGTGAGGTAGGACGCTAGACAGAATGGATGATACGATTTCAGACAGAAAGAAACAAAAAATGTGGTAGTATGTCAGAAGACAGGTCAATCGAATGACAGAAAGAAAGTTACATAGTATGTGAGGTTCAATGCCGGATAGAATGCCTTAAAAGATGGGAACTGAATTGTTACAATAAATGTCAGATAGAATGTCAGAATAAATGTCCGGCTGCACAATGGGGCTCACTCGAAGACAGTCTGTTGCATGCTTCTTTTTAGGGCCGGCGGCTTACTGACCGGACAGGTGCTTTTCTGACTCTTTCAAGTCTGCACTCGGGTTCCATTCTAACGCGCCCTGTTTTGGGTAGGCGGATTTCCTGCAAGCCATCCTTCGGCATTCTGCAAAGCATTGGAAATTTATTGACGCATAGTTTTGCTTGCTGCTCAGGCTTTTTGGGTGGTGCGAAAAAGGGCTCACTTCCCCTCTCGCAGCAAGCGATCCTTTTGAAGAGCACCCTCACAGAGGTACCGCAGCTGTGCCTGCAGAGCTGGAAGTCGATCACATCACTCTGTGCGTTTTGGATTCTTTTCCGAGTCGATGCTAGCGCTACCAGCATGGCAAGTTTGGGCTCAGAGCTCACCGAGATCACAGGGCATTTGGAGGAAGCGTTCAAAAACAGCTTTTCGGCTGCGTGGTGAATTATCTTTTTGATTTTTGAGCTTCTTCGAAGATCTGCAAAGACATGCGTGGATCTGGGACACACTAGTGAAAGGCATGGCCATTTATGCCTGTGTTCAGGCTACCCCACGGATGCGGACCGCGCCACAGTCATCGACTGGTTCAAACGCCATGGCCAAGACCAGGGCAAGATCTTGGAGCGTGCCGTCGGAGAAGGGTTCGTTGCTGAACCTGACAGACACCGCTCGGACTACCGAGGCGATGCTTCCCGCAACTCCCTGCTCCTCAGCGATGATTGATGATGGATACTTGATGATTGATGATGATGATGATGATGATGCTGATGGTGATGATGATGATGATGGTGATGGTGATGATTGATGATGATGGTGATGATGGTGATGGTGATGATGATGATGATGATGCTGGTGATGATGATGATGATGATGAAGGTGATGATGATGATGGTGATGATGATGATGATGGTGGTGATGGTGATGATGATGGTGATGATGATGATGGTGATGATGGTGATGATGATGGTGATGATGATGGTGGTGATGATGGTGATGATGATGGTGATGATGATGATGATTATGATGATGATGATGATGAAGGTGATGATGATGATGGTGATGATGATGATGGTGATGGTGATGATGATGGTGATGATGATGGTGATGATGATGATGATGGTGATGATGATGGTGATGATGATGATGATGATGGTGATGATGATGGTGATGATGATGATGGTGATGATGATGATGATGGTGGTGATGATGATGATGGATCTGTTTCCATTTTTGTTTGGTGACGAGCAAGACCCGAAACTTCACGTCTTTCCAAGGCCCCCCACTGCGCCTGACGGCCGTGTTCGCAAGCGTCGCTCCACGTCAGAGGAAATCCAACGATTCGAGAGAAGGCCCTTGGGGTATGAGACATGCCAACAAGGATAGGGAACCCAGTAGCTGTTAACCAAATTGTGGACTGGATGTGCAGATCACAGCTCTTTCTCCTCCAATTTCTTCATGATGCTCGCTTTGATGGTTAGGAAGCGGTTGGCTGAAGTGACCCTGGAAGCCGCCGAAGCAGAGCTCCGTGCGCAGCGGATGGAAGCCGCTGTGCGAGGGGAAGGTGCAGCAGAGGCGCCTAAGAAGCCACACCTTCTCCACTCGCCAGCCATTCCAAACAGCTGGGTGGCCCAGGCTGGAAATTTCATTGCACTGGTGTTTGCTGCGGCTATTGCTTCGCACAACTTCACATTTATTTTTTCATTCTCCCTTCGCATACATCTAATCCCATGTGGCCTTTGCGTGCAGACGCCCAGCCCGCAGCCAATCATGCCTCCTAGCCAGGCGTGGTAGCGGAATCCGATTGCACGTGAATATATAGATGTGCTTCAAGGTTTGGTCATTGTAGTGCCATATCTGGAGGACGCTGTCTGATTCTTTCATCAGGATTTGAATTTTGATTCAATTGAGTTTAGTGTCGCAGGTTGCTTCTTTCACGGACAAAAACCCCTGGCTGTTCGATCGCGCTTAGACACCTGCGTCCCCCTATATTTACATTGAGGCAGACTACAATACATGCCATCTCCCGAGTCAAATCACATTGAGACGGCCAAGGACAAATCACTGTGGCTACAATAGAAATACAGCTACATAGCGACCGTGCAGGGATGACAGCTTTTGTGGTTCGGCAATTAGTTTGTTTTCCAATCAGTTGCGCTTGTTACTGAGCAAGCTCCGTTCGAGTTGGCATTGTGTACCTTACAAATTGCTGGTTTCGTCTATTTTCCCACAAGCCCAAAACACGTTTGGATCTTGTCACCTGGGAGGTTCCCAGTCCTGCGTCTACGCCCCCGGCGGCTGCTGTTGTGGTGGCTTGGCTTTGCTGAACAAAAATTGTGTTAGGTGTCACAAAAGAGTCACTCTTAGGGGAAGCTGTTGCCCGCAATCATTTCGAGGAGTCAGCTGCTGCAGTCCCCATCCCGCCAGTGGCTTGTCTTGAGGAAATCCAAGGGTGCTTCTAGCGCCACTGATATCTTGTTTCTCGTAGAGATAGTAGATAAACCAAAAGCCTGCAGCGGAGATTTTAAAAGTCCGAATGCTAGAGCCTGACATTCGGTACCTAATGACTTGGTGATTCCCGCATTCTCAAAAGCCCGAAGAACTTTGACATCTTGTTTTCTGGAGGTTCCGGGATCTGTCTCTACGCCGCTTGCAACTCCGGCGGCTGCCGTGGTGGCTTGGCCGGACAGACAAATCAAACGAGGGTGCCAGGTTTTTGATTTGGTATATTGCGGATAAGTTCGGATTGCTTTCGATAGAGCTACGCCACTTTTTCTTTTAGGACTCCTAAGGAGATCACTCTTGGAGAAGCCGGAAGTCATTGGGAGTCAGCTGCAGTGTTTGTTCCATCCGCAGGTTTTGAAACCCAGAGTTCTTTTGGATCTGGCATTCTCAATCAAACTATTTAGAGATTCCCACATTTGCGCAAGACCAAAACATTTTGACATCTTCTCAACTGGAGGCTCCAACACCTGTGGCTATGCTCCTTGGAACTCCTGCAGCTGCTGCGGTGGCTTGGCTTGCCTCACAAACAAGAGCGCTTGTGGCTGCAGTGTTTTCCTGTGTTTCTACGTTGGTATCTAGTAGGTGTTGGACGATTGCTGTCGAAAGACCAAAACACGGTTTGCTTGAGGACTCACAAGGGGTTCACTCTTGGGGAAGCCCTTTCTGGGAGTCATTTAAGAGAAGTCAGCTGTGGTGTCGGTGCCGCCTGCTGTGCGGGCCTGGCTTGAGGAAATGGAAGGGGGCGTGTAGCACCAGTGGTTTCAGGATTTTAAGGCCGCCTCCTAGATACCAAGGCCTTTTAAACCTAGAGTTCTAGAATCAGATTTGGTGATCAAAGAATTTTGACATCTTGTTGCTTGGAGGTTCCAACAGCTGCGTCTACGCCACTTGGAACTCCGGCGGCTGCCGTTGTGGTGGCTTGGCTTCACTGACAAACGAAGGTGCTTATGGCCCCAGTGTTTCTAAGTTGGTATCTTGCGGATATGTTGAAAATTGCTTTCGAATGCTGAACAAAAATTGTGTTAGGTGTCACAAAAGGGTCACTCTTAGGGGAAGCTGTTGCCCGGAATCATTTCGAGGAGTCAGCTGTTGCAGTGCCTGTGCCGCCAGTGGTTTGTCTTGAGGAAATCCAAGGGTGCTTCGAACGCCACTGATATCTTGTTTCTCGTAGAGAAACCAAAAGCCTGCAGCGGAGATTTTAAAAGTCCGAATGCTAGAGCCTGACATTCGGTACCTAATGACTTGGTGATTCCCGCATTCTCAAAAGCCCGAAGAACTTTGACATCTTGTTTTCTGGAGGTTCCGGGATCTGTCTCGTCTACGCCGCTTGCAACTCCGGCGGCTGCCATGGTGGCTTGGCCGGACAGACAAATCAAACGAGGGTGCCAGGTTTTTGATTTGGTATATTGCGGATAAGTTCGGATTGCTTTCGACAGAGCTACGCCACTTTTTCTTTTAGGACTCCTAAGGAGATCACTCTTGGAGAAGCCGGAAGTCATTGGGAGTCAGCTGCAGTGTTTGTTCCATCCGCAGGTTTTGAAACCCAGAGTTCTTTTGGATCTGGCATTCTCAATCAAACTATTTAGAGATTCCCACATTTGCGCAAGATCAAAACATTTTGACATCTTCTCAACTGGAGGCTCCAACACCTGTGGCTACGCTCCTTGGAACTCCTGCAGCTGCTGCGGTGGCTTGGCTTGACTCACAAACAAGAGCGCTTGTGGCTGCAGTGTTTTCCTGTGTTTCTACGTTGGTATCTAGTAGGTGTTGGACGATTGCTGTCGAAAGACCAAAACACGGTTTGCTTGAGGACTCACAAGGGGTTCACTCTTGGGGAAGCCCTTTCTGGGAGTCATTTAAGAGAAGTCAGCTGTGGTGTCGGTGCCGCCTGCTGTGCGGGCCTGGCTTGAGGAAATGGAAGGGGGCGTGTAGCACCAGTGGTTTCAGGATTTAAAGGCCGCCTCCTAGATACCAAGGCCTTTTAAACCTAGAGTTCTAGAATCAGATTTGGTGATCAAAGAATTTTGACATCTTGTTGCTTGGAGGTTCCAACAGCTGCGTCTACGCCACTTGGAACTCCGGCGGCTGCCGTTGTGGTGGCTTGGCTTCACTGACAAACGAAGGTGCTTATGGCCCCAGTGTTTCTAAGTTGGTATCTTGCGGATATGTTGAAAATGGCTTTCGAGTGCTGAACAAAATTGTGTTAGGTGTCACAAAAGGGTCACTCTTAGGGGAAGCTGTTGCCCGGAATCATTTCGAGGAGTCAGCTGTTGCAGTGCCTCTGCCGCCAGTGGCTTGTCTTGAGGAAATCCAAGGGTGCTTCTAGCGCCACTGATATCTTGTTTCCCGTAGAGAAACCAAAAGCCTGCAGCGGAGATTTTAAAAGTCCGAATGCTAGTGCCTGACATTCGGTACCTAATGACTTGGTGATTCCTGCATTCTCAAAAGCCCGAAGAACTTTGACATCTTGTTTTCTGGAGGTTCCGGGATCTGTCTCTACGCCGCTTGCAACTCCGGTGGCTGCCGCGGTGGCTTGGCCGGACAGACAAATCAAACGAGGGTGCCAGGTTTTTGATTTGGTATATTGCGGATAAGTTCGGATTGCTTTCGATAGAGCTACGCCACTTTTTCTTTTAGGACTCCTAAGGAGATCACTCTTGGAGAAGCCGGAAGTCATTGGGAGTCAGCTGCAGTGTTTGTTCCATCCGCAGGTTTTGAAACCCAGAGTTCTTTTGGATCTGGCATTCTCAATCAAACTATTTAGAGATTCCCACATTTGCGCAAGACCAAAACATTTTGACATCTTCTCAACTGGAGGCTCCAACACCTGTGGCTATGCTCCTTGGAACTCCTGCAGCTGCTGCGGTGGCTTGGCTTGCCTCACAAACAAGAGCGCTTGTGGCTGCAGTGTTTTCCTGTGTTTCTACGTTGGTATCTAGTAGGTGTTGGACGATTGCTGTCGAAAGACCAAAACACGGTTTGCTTGAGGACTCACAAGGGGTTCACTCTTGGGGAAGCCCTTTCTGGGAGTCATTTAAGAGAAGTCAGCTGTGGTGTCGGTGCCGCCTGCTGTGCGGGCCTGGCTTGAGGAAATGGAAGGGGGCGTGTAGCACCAGTGGTTTCAGGATTTTAAGGCCGCCTCCTAGATACCAAGGCCTTTTAAACCTAGAGTTCTAGAATCAGATTTGGTGATCAAAGAATTTTGACATCTTGTTGCTTGGAGGTTCCAACAGCTGCGTCTACGCCACTTGGAACTCCGGCGGCTGCCGTTGTGGTGGCTTGGCTTCACTGACAAACGAAGGTGCTTATGGCCCCAGTGTTTCTAAGTTGGTATCTTGCGGATATGTTGAAAATTGCTTTCGAATGCTGGACAATATTGTGTTAGGTGTCACAAAAGGGTCACTCTTAGGGGAAGCTGTTGCCCGGAATCATTTCGAGGAGTCAGCTGTTGCAGTGCCTCTGCCGCCAGTGGCTTGTCTTGAGGAAATCCAAGGGTGCTTCTAGCGCCACTGATATCTTGTTTCCCGTAGAGAAACCAAAAGCCTGCAGCGGAGATTTTAAAAGTCCGAATGCTAGAGCCTGACATTCGGTACCTAATGACTTGGTGATTCCTGCATTCTCAAAAGCCCGAAGAACTTTGACATCTTGTTTTCTGGAGGTTCCGGGATCTGTCTCTACGCCGCTTGCAACTCCGGCGGCTGCCGCGGTGGCTTGGCCTAACAGACAAATCAAACGAGGGTGCCAGGTTTTTGATTTGGTATATTGTGGATAAGTTCGGATTGCTTTCGACAGAGCTACGCCACTTTTTCTTTTAGGACTCCTAAGGAGATCACTCTTGGAGAAGCCGGAAGTCATTGGGAGTCAGCTGCAGTGTTTGTTCCATCCGCAGGTTTTGAAACCCAGAGTTCTTTTGAATCTGGCATTCTCAATCAAACTATTTAGAGATTCCCACATTTGCGCAAGACCAAAACATTTTGACATCTTCTCAACTGGAGGCTCCAACACCTCTGGCTACGCTCCTTGGAACTCCTGCAGCTGCTGCGGTGGCTTGGCTTGACTCACAAACAAGAGCGCTTGTGGCTGCAGTGTTTTCCTGTGTTTCTACGTTGGTATCTAGTAGGTGTTGGACGATTGCTGTCGAAAGACCAAAACACGGTTTGCTTGAGGACTCACAAGGGGTTCACTCTTGGGGAAGCCCTTTCCGGGAGTCATTTAAGAGAAGTCAGCTGTGGTGTCGGTGCCGCCTGCTGTGAGGGCCTGGCTTGAGGAAATGGAAGGGGGCTTGTAGCACCAGTGGTTTCAGGATTTAAGGCCGCCTCCTAGATACCAAGGCTTTTTAAACCTAGAGTTCTAGAATCAGATTTGGTGATCAAAGAATTTTGACATCTTGTTGCTAGGAGGTTCCAACAGCTGCGTCTACGCCACTTGGAACTCCGGCGGCTGCCGTTGTGGTGGCTTGGCTTCACTGACAAACGAAGGTGCTTATGGCCCCAGTGTTTCTAAGTTGGTATCTTGCGGATATGTTGAAAATTGCTTTCGAATGCTGAACAAAAATTGTGTTAGGTGTCACAAAAGGGTCACTCTTAGGGGAAGCTGTTGCCCGCAATCATTTCGAGGAGTCAGCTGCTGCAGTGCCCATGCCGCCAGTGGCTTGTCTTGAGGAAATCCAAGGGTGCTTCTAGCGCCACTGATATCTTGTTTCCCGTAGAGAAACCAAAAGCCTGCAGCGGAGATTTTAAAAGTCCGAATGCTAGAGCCTGACATTCGGTACCTAATGACTTGGTGATTCCTGCATTCTCAAAAGCCCGAAGAACTTTGACATCTTGTTTTCTGGAGGTTCCGGGATCTGTCTCTACGCCGCTTGCAACTCCGGCGGCTGCCGCGGTGGCTTGGCCTAACAGACAAATCAAACGAGGGTGCCAGGTTTTTGATTTGGTATATTGTGGATAAGTTCGGATTGCTTTCGATAGAGCTACGCCACTTTTTCTTTTAGGACTCTTAAGGAGATCACACTTGGAGAAGCCGGAAGTCATTGGGAGTCAGCTGCAGTGTTTGTTCCATCCGCAGGTTTTGAAACCCAGAGTTCTTTTGAATCTGGCATTCTCAATCAAACTATTTAGAGATTCCCACATTTGCGCAAGACCAAAACATTTTGACATCTTCTCAACTGGAGGCTCCAACACCTCTGGCTACGCTCCTTGGAACTCCTGCAGCTGCTGCGGTGGCTTGGCTTGACTCACAAACAAGAGCGCTTGTGGCTGCAGTGTTTTCCTGTGTTTCTACGTTGGTATCTAGTAGGTGTTGGACGATTGCTGTCGAAAGACCAAAACACGGTTTGCTTGAGGACTCACAAGGGGTTCACTCTTGGGGAAGCCCTTTCCGGGAGTCATTTAAGAGAAGTCAGCTGTGGTGTCGGTGCCGCCTGCTGTGAGGGCCTGGCTTGAGGAAATGGAAGGGGGCTTGTAGCACCAGTGGTTTCAGGATTTAAGGCCGCCTCCTAGATACCAAGGCTTTTTAAACCTAGAGTTCTAGAATCAGATTTGGTGATCAAAGAATTTTGACATCTTGTTGCTAAGAGGTTCCAACAGCTGCGTCTACGCCACTTGGAACTCCGGCGGCTGCCGTTGTGGTGGCTTGGCTTCACTGACAAACGAAGGTGCTTATGGCCCCAGTGTTTCTAAGTTGGTATCTTGCGGATATGTTGAAAATGGCTTTCGAATGCTGAACAAAAATTGTGTTAGGTGTCACAAAAGGGTCACTCTTAGGGGAAGCTGTTGCCCGCAATCATTTCGAGGAGTCAGCTGCTGCAGTGCCCATGCCGCCAGTGGCTTGTCTTGAGGAAATCCAAGGGTAGAGAAACCAAAAGCCTGCAGCGGAGATTTTAAAAGTCCGAATGCTAGAGCCTGACATTCGGTACCTAATGACTTGGTGATTCCTGCATTCTCAAAAGCCCGAAGAACTTTGACATCTTGCTTTCTGGAGGTTCCGGGATCTATCTCTACGCCGCTTGCAACTCCGGCGGCTGCCGTGGTGGCTTGGCTTGACTCACAAACAAAGGTGCTTGCGGTTCCGGTGTCTTCCCATGCTTTTGAGTTGGTATCTTGTGGCCAAAACAAGGTTTGTTTAAGGACTCGCAAGGGATTCACTCTCGGGGAACCCTTGCCGGGAGCTATTTGAAGGAGTCAGCTGCTGTGGCGCCGGCTCCGCCCGCTACGGTGGCTTGGCGTGATCAAATTGAAGGGGCCTCAGCTCCAGTGGTTTTTAGTTTTTCGCACAGAAGTGAAAAGCCTGATCCCACATAGCAATGCTTAAAAATTACTTTCTTCGAGTGATCCCCACCACGTGACATTCTATTGAATATACATTCGACGTTTTGACATTCTTTCTGACACTTTATCTGACATATATTTGCCATTCTATCTGACATTCTATCTGGCATCTCGTCTGGCATTCTTTCTGGTATTCTTTCTGACATTTTATTTGACATCCATTCCGACATTCTACCTGGCATTCTACCTGACGTTCTTTCTGACATTTTGTCTGACGTATATTCTCACAATGTTTCTGACATGTCTATCTGGCATCTCGTCTGGCATTCTATCTGGCATTCTTTCTGGTATTCTTTCTGACATTCTACTTGGCATTCTGTCTGACATTCTTTCTGGCATTCTTTCTGACAGTCTACCTGGCATTCTATCTGACATTCTTTTTGACATATTTTCTGACATTCTATATGACATTCTATCTGGCATCTTGTCAGGCCTTCTATCTGACATCCTTTATGGCATTTTATCTGACATATTTGCTAACATTCCACCTGAGCTTCCAATGGAGATCCGGCAGAGGAAGGAGAAGAAGGCGGGAGAAGTGCACTGATAAAATCTCGCAAACCTCACCTGGCAGGTCGGAACAGCCAAAGTTCTAGAACCTGGCATTGTGTGCCTCAACGCTTGGTGAAAGAATTTTGACATCTTCTCACCTGGAGTTTCCCATTCCTGTGTGTACGATCCTTGGAACTCCGGCGGCTGGTGTTGTGGTGGCTGGGCTTGATTGACAAACAAGAGTGCTTGTGGCTGCAGTATCTTCCCATGCTTTTGAATTGGTGCTTGTAGGTATGCTGAAGATTGCTTTCCAAGAAACAAAAAACTTGGGGAACCCCTTGCCGGGACCCATTTGAAGGAGTCAGATGCTGTAGTGCCTGCTCCGCCCACTACGGTGGCTTGGCTTGATCAAATTGAAGGAGCCTTGCCTCCTGTTTTTTTGTGGCTTTTCGAACAGAAGTCAAAAGCCGGATCGCACATACCTATATTTTTCAATTTAGGCGTTGCGTACCGTATGATTTGCTTATTTCCACAGTCTCGCAAATCCAAAGCACAAACACAACGAATTTTGACATCTTCTCATTTGGAAGTTCCGGATCCTCTGTCTACGCCCCTTGGAACTCCAGAGGCTGTTGTGGTGGCTTGGCTTGACTGACAATCAAGGGTGCTTAGGGCCCCGGTGTCTTCCGTTGCTTTTGAATTTGTGTATCGTGTATGTGTTGCAGGTTGCTTTCGAAAGAAACACAGAAACAATGTTTGCTTAAGGACTCACAAGGGGTTCACTCTTGGGGAAGCCGTTGCCGGCATTTCGAGTTGGATCGGCTTGAGGATTAATGGAAGGGTCCTTGTCAGACAGCTTGTTGTTCTTAGAAAAAATAGAGCCGGATCCTAGATACCGAGGCTTCTAAATCTAAAGCTGTGGCGATCGATGACAGCTCAGTGTCGAGCGACGAAGACTAGAGGCGAGACTGGCGGGAGTACGGGTTTGAAGAAACCATTACACGGCAATGGTCTCTCATTATAGTTTGCCGGGCTGGGTCTTGTTTACCGCTCGTTTCCAGATAAATTCACGTTTATCCCGATCTTTGCTCTGAATTTCCGAAGTTACCCGACTTTTCCCGTCTTTTCCCGACTTTACCCGTGCTTTCCCGCAACTTCCCGATTCTTCCCGTCGTATCCCCACTTTACCCGTGAAATCCCGAAGATTCCCGATCTTCCCGTCTTTTCCCCATTTATCCGTGAAATTGTTCGTGAAGTTTCCTGCGGGACACATATGTGCTTGGTCGGCACCTCTCATGCCTCGAGTTGGGCACCTTTGATGCTTCGAGTTGGGCACCTTTGATGCTTCGAGTTGGGCACCTCTCATGCCTCGAGTTGGGCACCTTTGATGCTTCGAGTTGGGCACCTTTGATGCTTCGAGTTGGGCACCTCTCATGCTTCGAGTTGGGCACCTTTGATGCTTCGAGTTGGGCACCTTTGATGCTCGAGTTGGGCACTTCTCATGCCTCTAGTTAGGCACCTCTCATGCCTCGAGTTGGGCACCTTTGATGCTTCGAGTCGGGCACCTCTCATGCCTCCAGTTAGGCACCTCTCATGCCTCGAGTTGGGCACCTTTGATGCTTCGAGTTGGGCACCTTTGATGGGCACCTTTGATGCTTCGAGTTGGGCACCTTTGATGCTCGAGTTGGGCACCTCTCATGCCTCTAGTTAGGCACAACCCATGCCTCGAGTTGGGCACCTTTGATGCTTCGAGTTGGGCACCTTTGATGCTTCGAGTTGGGCACCTTTGATGCTTCGAGTTGGGCACCTTTGATGCTTCGAGTTGGGCACCTCTCATGCTCGAGTTGGGCACCTTTGATGCTTCGAGTTGGGCTTCGAGTTGGGCACCTTTGATGCTTCGAGTTGGGCACCTCTCATGCCTCGAGTTGGGCACCTCTCATGCCTCGAGTTGGGCACCTTTGATGCTTCGAGTTGGGCACCATGCTTCGAGTTCGAGTTGGGACACCTTTGAGTTCTTTGAGTTGGGCACCTCTCATGCCTCGAGTTGGGCACCTTTGATGCTTCGAGTTGGGCACCGCTGATGCTTCGAGTTGGGCACCTCTCATGCCTCGAGTTGGGCACCTTTGATGCTTCGACTTCTCGGGCAAAAAGGTACATCATGACTTAGCCAAGGCACGCCTTTTCCACCTAGCACCCCCGTTCTCCGACGTGGCGGTGTCTCAGCCCTCCTTCCAGCCCACAAAGCCAATTCCCCCTGACATGGAGGGGTAGCGTGGGAGCTGCAGTCCCTGTCCCCTTTTCATCTTGTGGGTGTTCAAACGTGGCGGCGTCTCAGCCCGCATTGAACGTGGCGGTGTCTCAGCCCCTATTCCGGCCCACCATTTCAGCCGCTCTTCCCCTTTTGGTGTTGTGGGCAAACACCATGCTCAAACGTGGCGGTGTTTCAGCCGCGTTACCCCATATTCCGGCCACATGATGCCTCAAGTTGTGCACCTTTTCATGCCTCGAGTTGGGCACCTTTGATGCTTCGAGTTGGGCACCTTTGATGCTTCGAGTTGGGCACCTCTCATGCCTCGAGTTGGGCACCTTTGATGCTTCGAGTTGGGCGCCTCTCATGCCTCGAGTTGGGCACCTTTGATGCTTCGAGTTGGGCACCTTTGATGCTCGATTTGGGCACCTCTCATGCCTCGAGTTGGGTATGAGTTGGGCACCTCTCATGCCTCGAGTTGGGCACCTTTGATGCTTCGAGTTGGGCACCTCTCATGCCTCGAGTTGGGCACCTTTGATGCTTCGAGTTGGGCACCTCTCATGCTTCGAGTTGGGCACCTCTCATGCTTCGAGTTGGGCACCTTTGATGCTTCGAGCTGGGCACCTTTGATGCTCGAGTTGGGCACTTCTCATGCCTCTAGTTAGGCACCTCTCATGCCTCGAGTTGGGCACCTTTGATGCTTCGAGTCGGGCACCTCTCATGCCTCCAGTTAGGCACCTCTCATGCCTCGAGTTGGGCACCTTTGATGCTTCGAGTTGGGCACCTTTGATGGGCACCTTTGATGCTTCGAGTTGGGCACCTTTGATGCTCGAGTTGGGCACCTCTCATGCCTCTAGTTAGGCACCTCTCATGCCTCGAGTTGGGCACCTTTGATGCTTCGAGTTGGGCACCTCTCATGCCTCGAGTTGGGCACCTTTGATGCTTCGAGTTGGGCACCTCTCATGCCTCGAGTTGGGCACCTTTGATGCTTCGAGTTGGGCACCTTTGATGCTTCGAGTTGGGCACCTCTCATGCCTCCCCTTTGATGCTCGAGTTGGGCACCTCTCCTGCCTCTAGTTGGGCACCTCTCATGCCTCGAGTTGGGCACCTTTGATGCTTTGAGTTGTGCACCTTTTAGATGATCGAGCGGGTGCTGGGCACCTTCATGCTTCGAGTGGGTATGAGTTGGGCACCTCTCATGCCTCGAGTTGGGCACCTTTGATGCTTCGAGTTGGGCACCTTTGATGCTTCGAGTTGGGCACCTCTCATGCCTCACCTTTGATGCTCGAGTTGGGCACCTCATGCTTCGCAGTTGGGCACCTTTGATGCTTCGAGTTGGGCACCTTTGATGCTTCGAGTCGGGCACCTTTGATGCTCGAGCTGGGCACCTCTCATGCTTCGAGTTGGGTATGAGTTGGGCACCTCTCATGCTTCGAGTTGGGCATCTTTGATGCTTCGAGTTGGGCACCTTTGATGCTTCGAGTTGGGCACCTTTGATGCTCGAGCTGGGCACCTCTCATGCTTCGAGTTGGGCGCCTTTGATGCTTCGAGTTGGGCGCCTTTAATGCTTCGAGTTGGGCACCTTTGATGCTTCGAGTTGGGCACCTTTGATGCTCGAGCTGGGCACCTCTCATGCTTCGAGTTGGGTATGAGTTGGGCACCTCATGCTTCGAGGTGGGCACCTTTGATGCTTCGAGTTGGGCACCTTTGATGCTTCGAGTCGGGCACCTTTGATGCTCGAGCTGGGCACCTCTCATGCTTCGAGTTGGGTATGAGTTGGGCACCTCTCATGCTTCGAGTTGGGCATCTTTGATGCTTCGAGTTGGGCACCTTTGATGCTTCGAGTTGGGCACCTTTGATGCTCGAGCTGGGCACCTCTCATGCTTCGAGTTGGGTATGAGTTGGGCACCTCTCATGCTTCGAGTTGGGCACCTTTGATGCTTCGAGTTGGGCACCTTTCATGCTTCGAGTTGGGCACCTTTGATGCTCGAGCTGGGCACCTCTCATGCTTCGAGTTGGGTATGAGTTGGGCACCTCTCATGCTTCGAGTTGGGTATGAGTTGGGCACCTCTCATGCTTCGAGTTGGGCACCTTTGATGCTTCGAGTTGGGCACCTTTGATGCTTCGAGTTGGGCACCTTTGATGCTCGAGGTGGGCACCTCTCATGCTTCGAGTTGGGCACCTTTGATGCTTCGAGTTGGGCACCTTGATGCTTCGAGTTGGGCACATGGATGCTCGAGTGTTGGGCACCTTCATGCCTCGAGTGGGTCTGAGTTGGGCACCTATATGCTTCGAGGTGGGCACCTTGAATGGCTTCGAGTTGGGCCGTTTGATGCCTTCGAGTTGGGACCTTTGATGCTCGAGCTGGGAACCCTCATGATTCGAAAGGGTATGAGTTGGGCCCTCTCATGGCTCGAGTTGGGCACCTTTGATGCTTCGAGGTTGGGCACTTTGATGCTTCGAGTGTGGGCACCTTGATGCTGAGCTGGGCACCTCTAATGCTTCAGGTTGGGTATGAGTTGAGGCCACCTCTCATGCTTTCGGTTGGGCACCTTTGATGCTTCGGATGTTGGGACCTTTGATGGCTTGGAGTTGGGCACTTTGATGCTCGAGCTGGGCACCTCTCATGCTTCGAGTTGGGTATGAGTTGGGCACCTCTCATGCCTCCAGTTGGGCACCTTTGATGCTTCGAGTTGGGCACCTTTGATGCTTCGAGTTGGGCACCTTTGATGCTCGAGTTGGGCACCTCTCATGCCTCGAGTTAACTCGGGTATGAGTTGGGCACCTCTCATGCTTCGAGTTGGGCACCTTTGATGCTTCGAGCTGGGCACCTTTGATGCTTCGAGTTGGGCACCTTTGATGCTCGAGCTGGGCACCTCTCATGCTTCGAGTTGGGTATGAGTTGGGCACCTCTCATGCTTCAAGTTGGGCACCTTTGATGCTCGAGTTGGGCACCTCTCATGCCTCGAGTTGGGTATGAGTTGGGCACCTTTGATGCTTCGAGTTGGGCACCTTTGATGCTTCGAGTTGGGCACCTTTGATGCTCGAGCTGGGCACCTCTCAAGCTTCGAAAAGGGTATGAGTTGGGCACCTCTCATGCTTCGAGTTGGGCACCTTAGATGCTCCGAGTTGGGACCTTTGATGCTCGAGCTGGGCACCTTTGATGCTCGAGCTGGGCACCTCTCATGCTTCGAGTTGGGTATGAGTTGGGCACCTCTCATGCTTCGAGTTGGGCACCTTTGATGCTTTTCAGTTTGGGCCCTTTGATGCTTCCGAGTTTCCTCGAGATGGGCACCTCTTTTCATGCTTTCGAGTTGGGTATTGAAAGCTGGGCACCTCTCATGCTTCGAGTTGGGTATGAGTTGGGCACCTCTCATGCTTCGAGTTGGGCACCTTCGATGCTTCGAGTTGGGCACCTTTGATGCTTCGAGTTGGGCACCTTTGATGCTCGAGCTGGGCACCTCTCATGCTTCGAGTTGGGTATGAGTTGGGCACCTCATGCTTCGAGTTGGGCACCTTTGATGCTTCGAGTTGGGCACCTTTGATGCCTCGAGTTGGGCACCTTTGATGCTCGAGCTGGGCACCTCTCATGCTTCAAGTTGGGTATGAGTTGGGCACCTCTCATGCTTCGAGTTGGGCACCTTTGATGCTTCGAGTTGGGCACCTTTGATGCTTCGAGTTGGGCGCCTTTGATGCTTCGAGTTGGGCACCTTTCATGCTGGAGCTGGGCACCTCTCATGCTTCGAGTTGGGCACCTTTGATGCTTCGAGTTGGGCGCCTTTAATGCTTCGAGTTGGGCACCTTTGATGCTTCGACTTGGGCACCTTTGATGCTCGAGTTGGGCACCTCTCATGCCTCGAGTTGGGTATGAGTTGGGCACCTCTCATGCTTTGAGTTGGGCACCTTTGATGCTTCGAGTTGGGCACCTTTGATGCTTGGAGTTGGGCACCTTTGATGCTCGAGCTGGGCACCTCTCATGCTTCGAGTTGGGTATGAGTTGGGCACCTCTCATGCTTCGAGTTGGGCACCTTTGATGCTCGAGTTGGGCACCTCTCATGCCTCGAGTTGGGTATGAGTTGGGCACCTCTCATGCTTCGAGTTGGGCACCTTTGATGCTTCGTGCTGGGCACCTTTGATGCTTCGAGTTGGGCACCTTGGATGCTCGAGCTGGGCACCTCTCATGCTTCGAGTTGGGCACCTGTGATGCTTCGAGTTGGGCACCTTTGATGCTTCGAGTTGGGCACCTTTGATGCTCGAGTTGGGCACCTCTCATGCCTCTAGTTAGGCACAACCCATGCCTCGAGTTGGGCACCTTTGATGCTTCGAGTTGGGCACCTTTGATGCTTCGAGTTGGGCACCTTTGATGCTCGAGTTGGGCACCTCTCATGCCTCTAGTTAGGCACAACCCATGCCTCGAGTTGGGCACCTTTGATGCTTCGAGTTGGGCACCTTTGATGCTTCGAGTTGGGCACCTTTGATGCTTCGAGTTGGGCACCTTTGATGCTTCGAGTTGGGCACCTTTGATGCTCGAGCTGGGCACCTCTCATGCTTCCAGTTGGGTATGAGTTGGGCACCTTTGATGCTTCGAGTTGGGCACCTTTGATGCTTCGAGTTGGGCACCTTTGATGCTTCGAGTTGGACACCTTTGATGCTCGAGCTGGGCACCTCTCATGCTTCGAGTTGGGTATGAGTTGGGCACCTCTCATGCTTCGAGTTGGGCACCTTTGATGCTTCGAGTTGGACACCTTTGATGCTTCGAGTTGGGCACCTTTGATGCTCGAGCTGGGCACCTCTCATGCCTCGAGTTGGGTATGAGTTGGGCACCTCTCATGCTTGGGCACCTTTGATGCTTCGAGTTGGGCACCTTTGATGCTTCGAGTTGGGCAACTTTGATGCTCGAGCTGGGCACCTCTCAAGCTTCGAGTTGGGTATGAGTTGGGCACCTCTCATGCTTCGAGTTGGGCACCTTTGATGCTTTGAGTTGGGCACCTTTGATGCTTCGAGTTGGGCACCTTTGATGCTCGAGTTGGGCACCTCTCATGCTTCGAGTTGGGTATGAGTTTGGCACCTCTCATGCTTCGAGTTGGGCACCTTTGATGCTTCGAGTTGGGCGCCTTTGATGCTTCGAGTTGGGCACCTTTGATGCTCGAGCTGGGCAACTTTGATGCTTCGAGTTGGGCACCTTTGATGCTTCGAGTTGGGCGCCTTTGATGCTTCGAGTTGGGCACCTTTGATGCTCGAGCTGGGCACCTCTCATGCCTCGAGTTGGGTATGAGTTGGGCACCTCTCATGCTTCGAGTTGGGCACCTTTGATGCTTCGAGTTGGGCACCTTTGATGCTTCGAGTTGGGCACCTTTGATGCTCGAGCTGGGCACCTCTCATGCTTCGAGTTGGGCACCTGTGATGCTTCGAGTTGGGCACCTTTGATGCTTCGAGTTGGGCACCTTTGATGCTCGAGCTGGGCACCTCTCATGCTTCGAGTTGGGCACCCTCTCATGCCTCGAGTTGGGCACCTTTGATGCTTCGAGTTGGGCACCTCTCATGCCTCGAGTTGGGCACCTCTGATGCTTCGAGTTGGGCACCTTTGATGCTCGAGTTGGGCACCTCTCATGCCTCGAGTTGGGCACCTCTCATGCCTCGAGTTGGGCACCTTTGATGCTTCGAGTTGGGCACCTTTCATGCTTCGAGTTGGGCACTTCTCATGCCTCGAGTTGGGCACCTTTGATGCTTCGAGTTGGGCACCTTTGATGCTTCGAGTTGGGCACCTCTCATGCCTCTAGTCAGGCACCTTTGATGCTTCAGTTGGGCACCTCTTCGAGTTGGGCACCTCTCATGCCTCGAGTTGGGCACCTCTCATGCCTCGAGTTGGGCACCTCTCATTGGGCACCTTTGATGCTTCGAGTTGGGCACCTTTGATGCTTCGAGTTGGGCACCTCTCATGCCTCGAGTTGGGCACCTTTGATGCTTCGAGTTGGGCACCTTTGATGCTTCGAGTTGGGCACCTTTGATGCTCGAGTTGGGCACCTTTGATGCTTCGAGTTGGGCACCTCTCATGCTTCGAGTTGGGCACCTTTGATGCTTCGAGTTGGGCACCTTTGATGCTTCGAGTTGGGCACCTCTCATGCCTCTAGTTAGGCACCTCTCATGCCTCGAGTTGGGCACCTTTGAAGCATACCCCGAAGCTAACCCCCAAAATGAAGATCATTTTTTGGCTGTTGTTTGGAGATCATGGGTCGCGACACTTGCTTCATGCTGCCTTTAGGCGCCCTTTGCGCCATCCCGCCCTCCATCCCCGCAGTCTGGCTGCCCTATGCAGCCAAGTAGGTTGAAGACAGGTTCCGTGCTGACAGGCCGTTGCAGCTCCTGTCTAGATCTGATACGGTACGCGCTGAATAGTGCTCCGCGAATCATACCCGAATCATACCCGAATCACACCCGTTTCATACCTCAAACCTTCAACTTCCAGACCCTGGCACATTTTGAACGCCCTCTCTGCATAATTTGAAAATAAGACATCCTTGTCCATACCGCCATGGCACCAAAGCTATGGCTTGAACCAACCACCTGCTGTCAGGAACAAACGTGCTTCCTACAGCCAGCTATGCCTTGAACCAACTATACCTGCTGTCAGAACTAGCCTCGGGCTTCACCTGTACTTGGGAAAGCCAGACTCTGGCCCTTGGCGGTTGATTTAGACCAGAAAACCATACGTGTCTCTCTTTCTCTCTCTCTCTCTATATATATGTGTGTGTGTGTGCAAGGATACACACAGAGATATATAAAAGGTTGGAAAGTCTGTTGGAAGCCTCTTAGATATGAAGTAAGTTCCACGTGATGAAGTTCATGCGAAGCAGACCCCGAAGCATACCCCCGAAGCAAACCCCGAAGCATACCTCCGAAGCATACCCCCTAGACAAACCTTCCAGTGGGGATACGGTATTTCCAGACGAACCCAGATATCGCCATATTGGAGTTACTTTCTGTAACGAGTCTCGGATGACGAATGCTCATGCCAATGCGATGAAAAATGCATAGAGATAGGAACTATCAATAAGGAGATTGAACCAACATTGTCTTTGAGTTGGAGTAGATGTGCCCCAGGTTTGTTTTGCGAGCTTGCGTTCTCGCAGTCTTGGCTTTGATGTTGTTCTTGCGTTGCAGGGCGGGTGGCGCTCCTGTGCATTCATTTTTTAGCCGAACTTCCTGGAGAGATGCCTGTGCGGTATTAGATCTACCCGATTTTGTACAATCTTCAGCATGCACTTGCCCGGCGCAAGATGTGGATTGAGCGCAAGCAAAGACGTCCAACAAAAGAGCCGAAGCCAGTATGGTGAGGAAGTGTGCTTGTGTAAGTGTGTATGTTGTGAGATCCTAAGTCAGCCATGTGATTCATGTTCTTTGCATGCGCATTTCCGCATTTCCCGACCAGACATGTCAGAGGCAGCTGTAGCTTGTAAACACGCACGTGTTTTTTCAAGTTAATTCATCTGTATGCTATATATATTATAGAGGTGCCGGCCAGAGATGTGTGTTTCCTGATTTTCTTTAGTGTGCGAGGGCATATGTTGATGTCAGCTGGCATATTGTTTGCCAGCGTGCTAAGTTGCTTTGGTGGGTCAAGTATTTGTTTCACGTGGGTCAAGCTAGACCTGCTTTAAAGCATGCCGCGTCCTTCTCCATGTTTGAAATGAGGAAACATTGCTTAGGTACACCATGTGTGGCATGCCGTTGGCTCTGCCGCTCTTTCCCAGTGATGCAATGTGTAGTTGCACCGGTCCTGGGCGACTGTGTGTGGAGGTTCCGCCTCAACACACTGTGTGGTTGCCATCATGGACTGCCCATCGTGGTTCTTTTGAGGCACGCTCAGAGATCCAGGCATCTGGCACCTTCGGTTGCGTGACGTACGCCATCCAGAGTGACAGTGGCAAAGCTGTGGCACTAAAGAGCCAAATCTTCGAAGGCAACGACTACCGGCGAATAAACGTGGAAATTAGCTCCCTGCGGAGATTGAGCCACAAGCCCCTTATAGGCATTCAGGAAAGTTTTGGACTGAATTGAATGGTGGAATCCACAATCTTCCATTTTTTCGAGCTAGCTCAAAACATGTAGCTGGCTCAATTTCATCAGGGGTATGTTTTGAGAGTCACCTTGGGCTTTTTCAGAGGTACCATATCTGGTACTAAAGTAATCAGTGGGGACTGAACCTGGCAATTTAACACATTGGGAAGTTTCTGCGAGCTCGCTCAACTGCAACGAGCTGGCTCAGCACCATCGAGCTCGCTCAAACACATCGCTCTAGCTCAGGGGCATCGAGCTAGCTCAATGGCATCGAGCTGGCTCAATTTGTTCAACGAAAAAAAGAAAAAAAAACGCCACAAAAATTGAGCCAGCTACGTCACGTTGAGCTGGCGGACGAATGTGAGAGCATCAAAACGAAGACTAACTATGTATTGGCCGGGTTCAGGACGCATTGGCGAGCCGGCTCAAGGGCATGTAGCCGGCTCAATTTCTGCGAGGTTTTTTTGTTTCTTTTTTTTTCTCGCTAAAAAAAATGAGCCAGCTACGTGGCGCTGAGCCAGCTACGAGGCGCTGAGCCAGCTATGTGGCATTGAGCCAGCTACGTGGCACTGAGCCAGCTACGTGGCACTGAGCCAGCAAGGTAGCTTTGAGCTTTGAGCTAGCAAGGAGGCAGTGAGCCAGCAAG